TTTTCCCTCTGGATTGATGAAAAAAGCCAAATTTTTTGTCGAAATTTGGGATTTTGCACGGCTTCTCAACCGGATTGCGTTGATCCGTTGTGTATCTTACATATGATCCGAGTAGACTGACTTGGATGGGTCGAAAGACAATATGTACGAAAATGTGGATCTGGACTTGGCTTCTTCTTGCTTTGTGCAAGACAAAACGGAATCATTACTACTGTACTGTATAGATTTCGCATTAGGCCGGACAAAGCTAATCTATTTCTGTCTTGGGATGTGGGATAGGCGTTTTCTTGGAAGAATAATGAAATTTTGTTGGAAAGTGGATCGGCAGCAGCTTTTCGCTGTATTGCTGAACTATTGATGAGTCAACAAATGTGCCTGATCGAAAATGGGGTGTCGGCGTTGGTCATCGTGTCGTCATGCGAACCGACTAACTGCCTGGAGTAGATAGATGTCTTTTTCACTTTGATGAATAAGCAAATTTGCTAGGGAAAGAGTCTTGGTTAAGTATCAGAGACTGAAATATGGAGGCTGACGAGCCTTTTGGAAGATCTCCATGTGATTCTTTGACCCCATCACTGTTTGAAACTGCAGGACCTTGATTTTGAGACTTGTTCACCCAAGTCTGCGCTTCCCCGTAGCTACGATTGTCGTTGAACGTGTATACACTTCATGGATCGCTTGATCGTATCCCTTGATTAAACACATCTTGGGGAGGCAAACTTTGATTAAATGCTGTATTTTTCCTTAAGTACTCACCGTAATTCGCTTTGTCATTAGACCTACTTGATGTTGGTCATTCGAAATTGAATAAACCGAACAGGTCAAAACCCTTGGCATACTTTCCACTTTTATGTCTTAATTTACTTATTGCCTACTGCCGTTCAAGAATAAGCGAATCTCTGAACCGATTTAAAATACTTGTTTCTTGATTGTGCAATTTCTTCTATCCTTGCAAGTGTTTGATACTTTTATTCGAAAACTATATCGGCCATCTTTCCTACACTAGCTTTAGATAGCTTAAGTGGTTTTGAGGAGACACTGCTGGACACGCGTAATCGGGTGTCATGGTGTCTGACTATCTCTTGCATGCTTAATGCCCATTTTTCATTAATCATTCAGAGTGAGGTGAAGCATTGAAGGTGTCAAAATGAAATAAACGTGATTGGGTAGGTTACTCACTGATCATTCTTTCATGATGGCCACTTAAATTGTGTGCGAGTGTTAGTTTGACTCATCCATGTAAGAATGCAGTCTTTCAACCTCGGTGCATATTCGAGACTGTGCAAGCAGCAGAGATAGATTTTATCTTTTTGCCTCAAAGTCTGTGCATAAAAGATGTGCTCAAGAAACACGATTTAAATAAATTTTACGGTTTTTGTATTATCATCTCTGTGAATTATTGAAGAGAATATGTTATGTTAGGTTCTCAAATTGTCACTTTTTCCACGCTTTTCTCACTCGATATCTTCACCTTTTCGTCTCTTTCATGTTCCAATCTTTAGTTTTTGACATAAAATGGCTTTGATGTAGCCTCTATTGAGCACATTGTTTTGGAAATATGGGTTTTGGGCGTAACTTCATGAAGTAGGAAATGCATTTACTTAACTTGAGGATTATTTTGGTAGATACACTTTTTATTGAGTTGTTGAATCATTTCAAAGCAACATCATCACTGCCTTCAATGCACGTGGCCATAGTCTTCGTGGTAAAAATTTAGGACAATCTAATATTTCTATTTTGCATTTATAATCCCAAATTCGCATCGTCTATTTTCTCTTAAAAAAATGCGAATGTTGTTTGAGTGCTCGTGATTACTGTTGATCCCTTTCTGCTAGTGCTGATAGGTACAAGTCATGCTGTTCATTGCTTCAGTTGCACGAGTTCCAGTTTTCATTCTTTTTATTCTTGGTTCTTGGGAATATGGAAATCCACTTTTCTTTCCCATTAACAAAAGGTTTAGTGTATGTTATTACCTCATGATTTTCTTTTGTTCGGTTGGTTGTGTTTCCGAGTTATTGCTTCTGGCATTGTTAGACACTCCAATACCCTTTCGCTTCTAATGTACTCACGTATGGTAAATAGGCAGTTTTAAACTAACATCAGAAGACGCGAGCCAAAAGCACGTTTCAAGTCAATGCTAGTGCTGAAGCGCCGATGAGCGTAGTTTAGCAGCAGGGTGGGTGAAAAGGCTAGAGTCATGCTAATCTGATGATTTGTAGAGCATAAAGATATAAATAGATTGTTGGGTATTGTTTTCAAACTAATGCGATGCTGACCATGTCTGCTTCCATCTATAGCGTGAACCTTAACAGTGCGGAAGGTGGCGTGTTGAACAAAAACGCCTTCCAGGTGGGCACCTCAGCTCAGTCGACGATGGGGACTGTGGGAAACGCACCTGCGACCGGTGGTTCTGATGGTTGCTCCTGCTGATCGTATTCCTTTCCCCTAGCTCCCTCTTCCTAGACTGGTCTCCCTATACATAGTCCGCATCCTTCCCTCCGTCCAGCGTGTTACCCAATATCGTGATAGTTTCACCGGCATCTCTTCCCTCCCTCGTCCTTATTCTTTTACTTTTTGTGCTTACGATCATGCTATTTCTCTTTTTTCCTCTCACGAACGGTGTGCTATCGTACATTTGGTGTGTGTG